CCATTAAAAGATGAGACTAACCAAGTTATAACTTGGTTGGTTAGTTTGGATGATAAAAGGGCGTCAAACACTTTGAATGAATACTTTACATCCATGTTTACACTAGAAAGATTAGATGACATTCCATCACCCACACAAATGTTTAAAGAAGGTGAAGAGAATGAATTAAGGGATATACCCATAATTTGCAACATAATCAGGAAGAGCATTTGCAAACTAAAAGACTTAAAAGCCCCCTGAGGGGGCTTTTGAGTCATCTACCTCGTGAATGAAATTCAATCCAAAGTCATAAAGGAACTGGCAGATGCACTATGCATACCACTGAAACTCCTTTTCAGAAAATGCCTAGACCAAGGGATCTTGGCAAATGTTACCCTTATTTTAAAAAAAGGCAAAAAGAGCTCGGCAGAAAACTACTGTCCAATCAGCTTGACATCACACATCTGCAAGCTCATGGAGAGAATCCTATGGCAGGGAATCATCCAACATCTCACAGAGGACAATCTTGTAAAATCAATGCAACATGGGTTTATTAAAAATTGATCCTTACAAACCTGCTCACATTTCTGTGGGGAGCCCCTTCGGCACCCTGCAACTATCGGACTGATATAAGCTATATTAGGTCCCGAAGTTATCTGTGAATGCAGCTGTTAGTATTGGGAAATCTATAAATGGCTCCAATAGTCAAGGAGGATTTAAGGGATTCAACTGAAAATTGAGCAAAAGTATATTCACAGTAATCATCTCTATCACTAATGACACTGTTGCAGATGAATGTATCTTGGTAGTACTGTATATAGCTGTGTCACCTCCTTTTTGTTAGGCCTACAGTTGTGAATGGCTCTATAACCAGCTAAGTTGAAAAGTTGGGTATGGTCTTTACTTAGTCAGGTTTCTGTTAAAATAATGAACGATAGTTCAGTACCTAATGCTGAGAGCAATGCATTTATATCATCAAAATGTTTACCAAGTGATCTGACATTTTGTTTGAAAACTGATATGCAAGTGTTATTTCGGAGTTTGTTTTTTGCCTGGTGTGCTGTGTAATACCTGCAGTGGTGATGATCAGTGTGTTGGTTATTGAAAATTTGAGATAGTAGATTTTGTTCAGGATCAATATCAGCTTGCATGTGGATGCAAATAACAGAGATGACAATTTTAAAAAAAGAAAACACTTTTGAAAGGAAAGGCAGAGCTATAGTACACTTTGGTAGTTAGATGAGACTATAATTTAACTACTGGTTATTCAGCTGTTATCCCACAGTCATCCAGGAAATAATTGAGGTGTGCCTCAGTGGTTATAACATAAGTTTTTCCAGAGTCAGACTTCCTAGCTCTAATTTTACCATCTCGCACAAAACAATACTTAATTGCCGGGGGAATTTTTGCAGATTCCACGCAGTTTAAATAAGAGTTTTTGTCGGAACTTGGTCAGACATTTATTCACATAAACAGTGGGTTTACTAGAGACTGCGGTTCTGATAAGGTCTGACTTGCGGGAGCAGCTATCTAATTTAACATAAATTTTCCTGTTATTTGTACCAGATGATTTAATACCCACTCTATAAGCTGATTTGATGTCACTTGCTTCGATTGTATATCTCATCTTATTCTGCAATTCCTGGATCACGATGGCAGCACAGTCTTCTCCGTCAGTTTCTTGGGGAAAATCACATGACGAGATAACGACAGAATCAAGGAGCTTATGTTGGTCTGATTCATCTTGGGTAACATTGTGTTGCTGTTGTAGGGTGTTAAGATGGTTTTCAAACTTTTGTAACATTTCTTCCTGCTTCTTAGTGGTTTCTGCTGGGTTAAGGTTAGTAACTGTGTTCTTAAGAGAGCTTAATTCCTGTTCGAGGAGGTCGACTCTGGTAGACAGATCTTGATTATTCCTGAGCATGGCTGTAGCTTCACCTTGCAGGTTCATTATTAAGGGCGACTGCTCTTGGATTACTGTCATTTGGTCTTCATGTATTTGGGTTAATAACCTGAGCCATGGGTTATCAGCAAAGCACTTGAAGTCAGAACAAGGGGCGACAGCTCGTTTAAGTTGATCCACATGGTTACATAATTGTTGCATGGCCCTTGTCACTGATGTCGCTCCACCCAGCCGAGATGTTTTGTTATTGTTGATGTGGGGAGGGTCAGTACCCCCCCCGGTGGCCCCAGAGGGGGGGTGACAGCTGCATTATTTCTGTTGCTAGGGTTATTCCTGATAGGTGTGCTATCTTTCTTAGTGGCCTTGCCGGACTTGGGTTTGTTATGCATGGTAACAGGATAAATGTAGGAAGGCACAATAGGGAAGACTCATTGATGTGGCAGCAGTGAACGTTAGGTACAGCTTCCTCCAGGGAGCAACACTAGTGAGGTTGAAATGAGATAATATGGGTCTTGTTGATTGTTTCAATCACATTTGGGTCACTGAGTACTTAGCTGCCTTCTGGGGATGCTACATCATTTGTGGGTTGCTGAGAGCTGGTTTGTCTTCTCCTCGGTTTGTTGTGGCCCCTTCGGTTCAGGATTGTTTTTCTAAGGCTCTTTTCTTGTTGGCATTGGCCTCTGGGGGTCAGGTTGAGGAGCTTCATGCTCTCCTCCGGCGCAGGGGTTTATGCTCTTTTGGTCAAGGTGATAGGTTCGTTCGTTTGCAGCTGTCTCCTTCTTTTCTGGCGAAGAATGAGACTGCTGCTTTCCAGAGGGGTCCTTGGGTTGTTGATGCCTGGTTGGTCAGGCCGGGGGTGCATCATGTGTTGTATCCAGTTGCGGCTCTTTGTTGTTATTTGCGGTTGTTATGTTGTTATTTGCGGGCCACGGCCTCTGTGAATGGGGACATGCTTTGCCGGAGCTACGCAGACATGCGGCGCAGCTCGGGTGACATCATGCTCGTTTGCTTGTTATCATTTGGGGAGTTCTGTCTACTTGTTTGTCTATTTTAGCCATTTTAACCAGAATAGGGGTTTGTTTTGAGGCACTTTCTGGGTGCCTGGCCCGGTTGATCGCAGACATAGAATGCTTCAAATCCCATGTGCATTTCTATAGGCCATTGCTCCTCATGCCTCTCCGAGGGGGCCAGATTCTGGCTCCCTATGGGGAGCCAGAATCTATCTGGTCCCCGTAGGCCTAGAACTCAATACTTACTGACTGATGGCAAAGTCTAATGATATACATATCAACCTGGATAGCTCCGGAGAGCCTCTGGGTCTCACCCAGAAAATGGTGTTTCATTACATTCAATGCTGGTTTTATACAAACACACTTTGGAACTTTTCATTTAGCATTCACATATTTCTTTTTCATTCTCAATAGTTCTGTTCCACATTTTCAATCTCTGGATTTTATCCATTACATGCAGCTTGCTATTAATGAATTTATAGAAAAGGCCTGAATCTTTTTTACATTTGTTCATTATACCTTTCTCAAAGTTCCTTTCTGCCTCTCTCCTTACTGCTGTGTAATTGATTCTTGCTTGCTTGTAGTAATTATCTAAGTAATTACCTAAGCGTAGTTACAGGAGGAGTGCTACGCTCATGGTGTCCCACCTTCCCAGCACTCTTTGTCATATAACGCTTTGAAACTACTGACGGTTTTGGCCTCCACCACCTTCTCACCTAATTTGTTCCATCCGTCTATCACTCTGTTCGCAAAAGTTAATTTTCTAATATTTCTTCAGCATCTTTGCTTAATTAGTTTAAATCTATGACCTCTTGTTCTAGTTTAAATCTATGACCTCTTGTTCTTGAAGTTCCAGGTCTCAGGAAATCTTCCCTATCAATTTTATCAATTCCTGTTACTATTTTGTACGTAGTGATCACATCTCCTCTTTTTCTTCTATCTTCTAGTTTTGGCATATTTAATGCCTCTAACCTCTCCTCATTGCTCTTGCCCTTCAGTTCTGGGAGCCACTTAGTAACATGTCTTTGCACCTTTTCCAGTTTATTGATATGGGCACCATACAACCGCTGCATATTCTAGCTTTGGCTAACAAAAGTCGTGAACAATTTCTTTAGTATTTCACCATCCATGTATTTAAAAGCATTTCTGAAGTTAGAAAGCGTAGCATAGGCTCCTCGCACAGCGTTCTTTAAGTAGTCCTCAGGTGATAGTTTCTATCTAGAACCACCCATTGGTGGTTGCATTCAGGTCCTCTTTCACATAAAGCCTTACACCTCCTGTTGTTGTTGTTCTGTCTTTTCTGAATGGTGGATCATACCCTGGGAGGTGGAATTTTCCTTCAATAACGTCCTCTCATCCCCATGTTTCACTAATGATAAAGATAACAGGATTCTCGGCCTCAGCATATGCACACAATGCATCAAATATATTCACTAGGTTTCTGGTATTTGTACAGATGCAATTTAAATTTCTTACGTTGTTCCTATTGGGCTGAGAGATAACTCCTGAATTCTGCACATTACTATTCTGTTCATTGTCACTGGTCTTGTGCCTGTTTAATATATCCTTATTTGCATCATACGTATAAAACCCATACAACGATCATTTATATCTTCATATGACAATATCTGCATTACCCTATAAATCAACAATTGACGATGTCCGCAGCCCTCTACGCCGTCTTAACCTGCGATGTCCGCAGGTTAAGGCATATGCTTGGGAGTACCCAATGTGCAGGTTCAAAACCTCCACATGGCTCCTACCGATTTTGTCATTATTATTATTATTATTATTATTATTATTATTTACAGACAATTGTTAAATTACCTTCCTGAGATTGTTTGGCTACTTTACTGCCTACACAGTATAAAGTACTGTATATCTTTACTGCCTACACCGTATAAAGGCTGACTGCAGACCACTCAACATTGATGTACAGAAATATCACTAATTATCAGTACACTGTACGGTTACTATTGCTGTGAAGTGCATTCACACACGACATGGACAAGAAAATGCAATCTCTCTCTCTCTCTCTCTCTCTCTCTCTGATAAAAAATAACCAACCGATCTACTCTATAAAATATGATTGCATGAAGCTGACTCACCTTAAGCTTCATATTATATGCTCCAGTTCCAAGGTCAGCAATAATGAGCTTCGATTCTCCATCTCCATGAAGGTCGGCCAAGGCCACACAAGCACTGAATGTGTACAGTGCTGCCAGAGGATCATGATGAGCTGTGAGCCATCGTTCACTGCAATCAAATAAGAAAGCGAAATATTTGTAATTATAAGATAATTAGCTTAAACTATAACTATATTGCTATTTGCTTATTGAGGTCCTCCTAAGTCAATTACTGAGGGTCTTGCCCAGGATGTAACAAACAACAGTTGCCTCAGGTGAAAGGAAACATGCCCATCCATTTCTGGTCTGCCCAACCATTGAACCCAGGATCGTCAATTGTGAGCAGAGGATGAAGACCACTGGGCTACAGGACCATAAAGATGAAAGTCAATACTAACAATTCTTACCCCTACTCAAATCTCTGAATATGTTAGATATTAAGTCACTGCACATTCTCTCATGTGTATTATATATATATATATATATATATATATATATATATATATATATATATATATAAAACGCTGAACCGTAATGCCAATCCTGACCTCAAAAGCTTCATTGAAGGTTGTAACAGAACCCATGAGCACCACACCAGAAATAAATTCAGTTTTGATATTCCAAGAGTACAACTTAATCAAACTAGAAATGCTCTCCAAATCAAGGGACCCAGAATGTGGAATGACCTTCCCAACCATGTTAAAGACTGTACCTCTCTCAACCAGTTTAAGATAAAAACGAAGCACTACCCAATAAATTCCCTGTAACCTACCTTACACCTCTATTGTCAACCCATGTCTGTTTTCTTAAACAACGCTGTTTGTCGACCTAATTGTATTTGTGCTGCTTTTTCAGCCATGTTTCCCCCTTTTTTATCTTTATTTTTATTTGTTCTCAACACATATTATTCTTTATACTCAATTAGTATTAAGTTTTAGTCATTAAAGTTTTTCCTGCCCGAAATGCTTTGCGTAATAGTGGCTTTAGGCATTGTATGTACTAGCTTCATCTATAAATCGATCAATTTATGTAAAATCTCTTGTATGTATGTACCTTATTTGAATAAACATTTTATTTTATTTTATTTATTTTATGTCTTGAGATGCTATTAAGCCATAAAATCATTATATACTGTACAATTTTATATAACTTAAGAATCATGAACTGTGTATAAAATTACAAGTATTATGTTTATTTAGCCCTAGGGAATTAAAAAGTGACTAACTTTTCTGCCATGATGATTGTGGTGGGTGCTAGAGATGTCTGAAGTCAGTGCTATACCCACTGGCTGTCACACCCTGAAGGCTAGATACACCCACTGGCTGTCACACCCTGAAGGCTAGATACACCCACTGGCTGTCACACCCTGAAGGCTAGATACACTCACTGGCTGTCACACCCTGGAGACTGGAATCACACACTGGAAGCTGCCTACACAGTATAATGGGTGACTTGACAGCCTGGAGGATGATTACACAGCCTGGAGGCTGACTACACAGTCTGGAGATTGATCAATCTCCAAACCCTGGCGTTGGCCTATATAGTCTGGTGGTTAACTTTAGAGCCTAGAAGCTGACTACACAGCCTGGGGGCTGACTACACAGCCTGGGGGCTGACTACACAGCCTGGGGACTGACTACACAGCCTGGGGGCTGACTACACAGCCAGGGGGCTGACTACACAGCCTGGGGGCTGACTACACAGCCTGGGGGCTGACTACACAGCCTGGGGGCTGACTACACAGCCTGGGGGCTGACTACACAGCCTGGGGGCTGACTACACAGCCTGGGGGCTGACTACACAGCCTGGGGGCTGACTACACAGCCTGGGGGCTGACTACACAGCCTGGGGGCTGACTACACAGCCTGGGGGCTGACTACACAGCCTGGGGGCTGACTACACAGCCTGGGGGCTGACTACACATCCTGGGGGGCTGACTACACAGCCTGGGGGCTGACTACACAGCCTGGGGGCTGACTACACAGCCTAGGGGCTGACTACACAGCCTAGGGGCTGACTACACAGCCTGGGGGCTGACTACACAGCCTAGGGGCTGACTACACAGCCTAGGGGCTGACTACACAGCCTGGGGGCTGACCACACAGCCTGGGGGCTGACTACACAGCCTAGGGGCTGACTACACAGCCTGGGGGCTGACCACACAGCCTGGGGGCTGACCACACAGCCTGGGGGCTGACCACACAGCCTGGGGGCTGACTACACAGCCTAGGGGCTGACTACACAGCCTGGGGGCTGACCACACAGCCTAGGGGCTGACTACACAGCCTAGGGGCTGACCACACAGCCTGGGGGCTGACTACACAGCCTAGGGGCTGACTACACAGCCTGGGGGCTGACCACACAGCCTAGGGGCTGACTACACAGCCTAGGGGCTGACTACACAGCCTGGGGGCTGACCACACAGCCTAGGGGCTGACTACACAGCCTAGGGGCTGACTACACAGCCTGGGGGCTGACCACACAGCCTAGGGGCTGACTACACAGCCTAGGGGCTGACTACACAGCCTGGGGGCTGACCACACAGCCTAGGGGCTGACTACACAGCCTGGGGGCTGACCACACAGCCTGGGGGCTGACTACACAGCCTAGGGGCTGACTACACAGCCTGGGGGCTGACCACACAGCCTAGGGGCTGACTACACAGCCTGGGGGCTGACCACACAGCCTGGGGGCTGACTACACAGCCTAGGGGCTGACTACACAGCCTGGGGGCTGACCACACAGCCTAGGGGCTGACTACACAGCCTAGGGGCTGACTACACAGCCTGGGGGCTGACCACACAGCCTAGGGGCTGACTACACAGCCTAGGGGCTGACTACACAGCCTGGGGGCTGACCACACAGCCTAGGGGCTGACTACACAGCCTAGGGGCTGACTACACAGCCTGGGGGCTGACCACACAGCCTGGGGGCTGACTACACAGCCTGGGGGCTGACCACACAGCCTGGGGGCTGACTACACAGCCTGGGGGCTGACTACACAGCCTGGGGGCTGACTACACAGCCTGGGGGCTGACTACACAGCCTGGGGGCTGACTACACAGCCTGGGGGCTGACTACACAGCCTGGGGGCTGACTACACAGCCTGAAGCGTGACTATATAGTATTAAGGCCATCAGGTGTGACACAGCATGAGCACTCTTCTACTTCTTCTTCGCGATAGGTATAGTTTGCATGTCAGGTTTGTCCTGTCGATGAGTGCACGAGTGGTGGTGATGGTAGATGCGGCAGTCACAGTGACGCATCAATGTTCACAATTTGGCTGTTGTTGGAAGTTATCGATGTCTTCTATTTGTTTGATGATAATAAGAAAAATAGACATATAAGTAGAAATGGACTTAGGATGACAAAGATGAGGGTTGGTGTTAAAGGTGGTATCCAAATGTTGTTTTATGAAAGGTGTGGATTAGTCAAGAGACAGACTGTGAGTATGTTTGGGAGTTTGTCGCAGCAACTGTAAACATTCTTCGTTACTATGACAACCAGGCCTAGAGGGTGCCGGACTAGGAAATATTTTATAGTTTAAGTTTTAAGTTTTAAAGATTCAATTTTTTTTATTCAGGTAAAAGTACATACATAGAAGATGAGTTGCAAACATTATGTTGAATTTATAGATAGAGTTAGTACATACAGAACCTAAAGTAACTAATACGCATAGCGTTTCGGGCAAGGTCTTCTTCTTTCTATATTATTTATTTATTTATTTATTTATTTATGCATATACAAGAATGTACATAAGGAATGTGAGGATACAAATATGGTAATTACAGTCTTGTAAAGCCACTAGCACGCGCAGCGTTTCGGGCAGGTCCTTAATCTAAGAAAATTTTAAGGAGGTAAATACTTGTAAAATTTATAGACAAAAAAAGATAACAGTTACATGAAATGTAAAAAAGAAGATGAGAGAAAATTGTAGGTACAGTATATTAAAGCACATAGGTAGCTAAGATTGATTGCAATGACAGCTTGAATGGTAGTTACAACAACAACAACAATACAATTTTATTTAGGTAAGGTACATACATACAATAACGGGTGGTCGGCGGGAAGGTCGGCCATCTTGGCGCGCGGATTGAACGCTCCTGGCTGGACTTTCTTTCCACACCTTACCTGGAACTCATCTTTAATTCAGCTGGCTTCTTTGGGCCAGTGTGTGCTCACTGCAGCTACCCAGGGGCTCACAGCACCGGGGGAGGCCGGAGCCTCCCTAATGGACGCCTCCCCGAGCGGGGGCGCCATGGATGTTGACAGCAAGTCCCAGAGAGGAAAACGTCTGCTAGAAAATGAGTCGGCTGATGCTGCCCCAGAGCGAGATGCTAAGAGGATATCTTCCCCTTCAGAAGACCTTAGTCTTGTGGTACCCCGTTCCTCGTTTGTGGTAGTCCTAATCCAGTCAGAATCAGGTCAGTGCGTCTTTGCAAATCCTCGTACCTTAGGTGCAGCAATCGAGGCTTCCGTATTGTGGCCACATTGCCTGCCTGAGACCATACGTACCCTGGGTAGGGGTGCAGCACTCAAGCTACATATCAGAAAGGAGGCTCTATCACACATCTGTGTATCCGACATTAATAAGTTGGGGGACTGGCCTGTCAGGTGCCGACAGGTATTGTCGCAGGAGGAGGAGTCTCGGGCCCGGTATGGGAAGATTGGCCCAATTGACCAAAGTGTTGATGTAGATGACATCCAGGCCGCTCTGCAGGTGTTAGGGGGTGCATCAGTGAGATTATTGGAAGTTACCAGGATTCGCGGAGTAGCAGACCCGACATCCATGGTCCGTGTAAAGTTCGATGGGCACCTCCCTGACCAGGTAGCACTACACAGGACCTCGTATCAGGTTCAGCCCTACAATTTCCCCGTGTTACGATGTTACGCTTGTCATCTATTGGGTCACAGTCGCCTCACCTGCCGTAATACAGCACGTTGTGTAAACTGCGGCAAAACAGGTCATTCAGACAGAGATAACGGTGGGTGCTCTGTTGCACCTCGCTGCTTTTTATGCCATGGCCATCATAAGGTTACGTCCAAGAGTTGCCCTGTATATCTTGAGGCCCTCCAGTTGTACATCGATCATAAAACAGCGGGGACACCTCGACAGAAGCTGTTCCAGAAGTTGCGTGCTCTCAATCAGCCTATCGCTTCTTCTCGCCTCCAGGTTTCCCCTGGTCGGGCCTCTTCACATGTAGAAACTAGCAGACGCTCTTGCCTGTCCCAGTCACATGCCTCATACGCCCAGGTTCTAATCGATTTTCTCTCCTGGGTAGCCTTGACACTGACAAACTCATCCACAGATACAGACATGGACGCTCAGTCTCGGCCGGAGCCCAGCACTCGTCACCCTCCTGCCTCTCCCCAAAGAAGCCAACACCGGCGTCGTCGACGCACCCATCGATCAAGAGGTACTGCACCAACAGATAGCCCTGGTGATCCTCTGGTCCCCCAGGCACTTTCCCAGGGGATTGTGACACCGGTGGAACATGAGGCCCAGAGTGAAGCACCCACCAGTCGCAGGCGCCGTCAAGAGAGTTCGCGAGCCAATCACCGCTTCCGTCAGGCAGAGAGAAGCATTGATCAACATCCTCTGGACTGGCTGACATTGATACCACACATTTTACTTACTTTGTATGAGGGTTTTATGGCTTTTTCTAGTGGTTCCCCCTTTGGAGACGTCTGTGCACTGGTGGTCAAAAAGTTAGCTGTTGTATTTCAGGGATAATGGCGCCCCATCCTGAGAATACTGTGGTGTTTTGGAATGCCCGCTCCCTTTTTAAGAAGACGCAATTTCTACGCAATTTTATCGCCAGCGCACCACCGTTGATCGTGGGACTCTGTGAGACTTGGCTTACAGACGATCTTTCCTTCACAGTGCCGGGGTATTCGGTCTATAGACAAGATCGGCCAGTACGGGGTGGAGGGGGACTTGCCCTCTTGGTCAGGGACTCAGTTCCCAGCTCCTTGCTCCGGATTCACTCCTTCCCGGGTGGACATTTAGAATTCATGGCAGTGAAGGTCGCCCTCTCCCATGGGTGGGGCACCTTTGGAGTTCTGTATAACCCCTGTCTACTGGTAACGAAGAAGGAACTAGAACACTATTTTGGTCAGATCACAGACACCTGCCTCGTCATGGGTGACTTTAACGCTCGGCACTCATCATGGCAACCCATGCTATCGGGTCGCCACCACAACATGGCTGGCCGAGCCCTATTTCAGTTTCTCCTTGACTCCCCAGACCTCTCCTTACTGACGCCGCCAGGTTTGGGAACTCGGATAGACCCGCTAAATGGACATACTTCAACACTCGATCTTTGCATTGGAAGAGGCCCCTTCACGATGGCGCAGATATGGACCGGGCCGTACCTGGGTAGTGATCACCTGCCCATCGTCATCTCCTTCGGGGGCACTGTTCGTCCTGCTCTGACCTCCCGAAGATCCAAATGGATCTTCTCGGAAGAGGGGTGGCATGGCTATGAGGCGGATGACTGGTCGACCCTTCCCGCAGTTACTGCAGATCTGCATGGGTCAGCAGATGCTCTCTCCGAGTCCCTCTTCAGTGTAGGCTCTCGGCATTTCAGGAGGACTAGTGGCCAGACAACCAATCCTTCCCGCCGTGGGGCACCGTGGTGGACTCCTGAATGTCGGCAGGCAGTACTGGACCGGCGACGTGCGTGGAATTCGTGGCGGCGCCACCCTACTCCACTGCAGCGGCAGACCTTCCGCAGGGCGGACGCCAGGTGTAGACGAACAGTCCTCCTTGCCAAACGCAAGGCCTGGGCTGATTACTGTGCCTCTCTCCGATTCGACTCCTCCTCTGCGGGAGCCTGGGCCTTTGTTCGTACCTTGGTGTTAAGATGACAGGTAGGTACTCCCAAGATAGGGCCTTCCATCCCACTCAGAGACCCCAGTGGTAATGGGGGCCTGGGGGAAGTACAAATAGCCGAACTCTTGGCTGACCACTTTGAAGATGTTTACCGTTCCCCGCTCCTTTCTGTGAGTTCCATAGGATGGGACTCCCGACAGGGTATAGGACTAGCTCAGGACCTGGATCGTCCATTTACATCTGTTGAGCTGAAGGACGCTCTGTCACTCTCTAGGTCGGGCACTATGCCAGGGATAGACAACGTCCCATATGAATTTGTTCGGAGGGCACCCAAGATCCTTCAGTCCCACCTCCTTCACTTCTACAACGCCTGCTGGTCCTCTGGTGTCTTCCCTGCCCCGTGGAAACACGCCATTCTTCTACCATTGGCCAAGTCAGGGAAGGATCCGTCTGTCCCGAGTTCATATCGGCCCATAAGTCTGCTTCCATGTCTCGGGAAACTGTTGGAACGTCTTGTTCACACCCGGCTACAATGGGTGGTGGAAACCTCAGGTCTTCTACCAGAGGGTATCAGTGGATTTCGGCCGGGAAGAAGCACGATGGACTGCCTCCTCTCCTTGGAACATCGAATAATGGACACTTATCGACGGAGAAGAGTGCTCCTTACAGCATTCTTCGACATCAAGAGTGCATTTGACTCTGCGTCTCATTCTGCTGTCCTTCAGAGTCTGGCTCGACTAGGTCTCTCGGGTCCGGCGTTGAGGTGGTTCCAAAACTATCTACAGGGCCGCTCATTCAAAGTGGCGGTTGGTGGAGTCGTCTCTACGTCCCGCCCTGTCTCGCGTGGTGTCCCCCAGGGAGCGATTCTGAGCCCACTATTATTCTCTATTCTTCTGTCTGATCTCCCTGTATTCCGGGGGGTCCAGGTTTTAGCCTATGCCGACGATGTAACCCTCGTGGCGGATGGTGCCACTCTCCTAGAGGCACAAGGCTTCCTGCAAAATGCCGTGACTGTGTTCTCAGCAACTGTGCTGGGGAAGGGGCTCTCCATTAACCCTGTGAAAAGTTGCGTCATGAGTTTCACCTGGACCCGCTTACCAGACCAGCCAGTGGTGACCGTCGGGGGCTGTCGTCTCCCGATCGCTACGGAACACAGGTGGCTGGGGGTCGTTCTAGATAGCCCTCGGCTGACGTGGAGGCATCATGTGGACTACCTTCGGGCCTCATGCCTTCGTCGCGTGAACATCATGAAACGGGTCTCTGGTGCGGCTTGGGGGGCTTCACGGGAGTCGCTCCTAGCTCTCTACAAGGCCTTCATTCGTAGCAAGATCATGTATGCGAGTGAAGTCTATGGCTCAGCAGCAGTATCTGTCTTGGCTAGGCTGGATCCCATTCAAAATGGTGCCCTTCGCTCAGCGTTAGGAGCTATGCCCTCCTCGCCAGTTCTTTCCCTTCATGCCGAGTCGGGGCTATGGCCCCTGAGCTTTCAACGTCTTCTCGCCCACTGCCGCCAACTTCAACGGATAGTGCGTCTCCCTGCTACCCATCTACTTACTCGCCTCCAGCTCGAGGCCAACTGGTGGAATGTGCCGACTGGACACTCCAGACGCCGTCAATTGCCTTTCGTCGTCCGGGCCTTGGATGCATATTCACAGTTTTCCCTTCCCGTCCCTGTACTCATCCCCGGCCCGATCATCTCACCGGTGCCTCCGTGGGCAGAAGAGTTCATTCGAGTTTCTGTCGACTTTTCCAAGCCTCCTCGTCGGAAGAGAGATTTAGAGGGTTTGGCCCCTTTAATTTTTGCAGACCTACGAGCCTCCTTATACTCTGGATACTTAGAGGTTTACACGGATGGGTCCCGCAAAGATCAGCCACCATCTACATCTGCGGCAGCATACTTTGCTCCTTTTTCTTTCTGTCAGACGTGGAAACTCTCCCCTGCTCATTCGTGCCTGGCCGGGGAATTGTTTGCAATCTTACTAGCCTTACGACTCCTTCGACAAGTTTCAGGGCCCTCTGCAGTGGTTTTCTACGTGGACTCAATCACAGCCCTACATCTGATATCATCTCGGCGTCCACGAGTCCATCGTCATACTGTGTCACAGATCCGTGGAGAACTGCTGTCATACTCTGTTACTCCAGGTTGGTCCATCTATCTCCAATGGGTTCCGTCACATGTCGGTATTAAAGGCAATGAGGTAGCCGACGCAGCAGCAGGGATGGCGCATGCTCTCCATGACTCTACAAATGTGCCTCTAGACCTTTCCGAAATTCTCCCGCAACTCCGGGCGGCTTGCCTCGTGAGTTGGGAGGCAATGATGGAGCCAGCACTCAGGTCCTCCTCTCTGGCGGGTCTACGGGAGGATTCCTCCCCGCGTCCATGGACTCGTCATCATTCTCGACTCCTCGACACTGCCATCACTCGTCTCCGGATTGGGCACACCTGCCTGGCCGCACATCTCCATCGTCTACGGCTGGTAGATTCCCCATATTGCCAGTGGTGTCCGACCCAGGAGGATACAGTGGAGCACCTTCTTCTTCACTGCCCTCGATTTCATAGCGCTCGCGTCAGACTACAGAGTTCCGTTCGTAGGCTGAATATTCCCCGCCTCACAGTTCCCGTTCTCCTTGACGGGGCAGGTGCGAGAGATGAAGACGTCCGTCATGACATCCTTCGCCATACCTTCCGCTTCATCCGTCATGTCCGTGGCCTGAAGAGACTGTAAAATTTGTCGCCTGAGGAGATTGTAGGGTCTATGGCCTGAAGAGACTATAGGGGCCCCATCCCTTTGCTATTTCCCGGTATCGGGCAGCCGGGGCGCATCCGATCCCACGATCGTCGTCGCCCCTAAATCAACACAACAACAGACATTGGTTGACAATAGAAGGGTAAGGTAGGTTACAGGGAATTTATTAGGTATAGCTTCGCTTTTAACTTAAACTGGTTGAAAGAGGTACAGTCTTTAACATGGTTGGGAAGGTCATTCCACATTCTGGGCCCCTTGATTTGTAGAGCATTTCTAGTTTGATTAAGACGTACTCTAGGAATATCAAAACTGTATTTATTTCTGGTGTGATGCTCATGGGTTCTGTTACAACCTTCTATGAAGCTTTTGAGATCAGGATTGGCATTATAGTTTAGCGTTTTATATATGTATACTACACATGAGAGAATGTGCAGTGACTTAATGTCTAACATATTCAGAGATTTGAGTAGGGGTACCGAGTGATGTCTGGGGCCAGAATTGGATATTGTCCTAATAGCAGCTTTGTGTTGAGTAATTAGAGGACGTAAGTGATTTTGGGTAGTAGAGCCCCAAGCACAAATACCATAGTTGAGATATGGATAGATAAGGGAGTAATAGAGAGTCACCAGGGCAGGGCGTGGTACATAATATCTGATCTTAGAAAGAATGCCCACAGTTTTTGAAACTTTTTTTTATATGTTTAGTATGTGTCCCTGGAAATTCAGCTTGTGGTCAATGAGAATGCCAAGGAATTTGCCATCTAATTTGTTACAAATTTGGGTATTGTTTATTTTGAGATTTATTTGATTAGAGGATTTATTGCCAAACAGAATATAGAAGGTTTTGTCAATGTTAAGGGTGAGTTTGTTGGCAGTTAGCCACAGATGGACTTTATTTAGCTCAGTATTTACTGTGGCATTTAGAGCAAGGGGATCAGGACTGGAGTAAATGAAGGTTGTGTCGTCAGCAAATAGAATTGGTTTGAGGTGTTGTGAGGCATTCGGAAGGTCATTAATGTAGATGAGAAAGAGGAGAGGGCCAAGTATGCTGCCCTGAGGAACACCAATGTTGATGGGTAGGGTGGGAGAAATTGTATTATTCACAGAAACATATTGGAGCCTGTCAGTAAGGTAGGATTTGAGGTATTGTAGGGAGTGTCCTCTGACTCCATAATGATGTAATTTAAGAAGAAGGTTTTGGTGGTTGACAGTATCAAAAGCTTTACGCAGGTCCACAAACAACCCAACAGGGAACTCATTTTTATCAAGAGCTGTATGAATCGAGTTAAGCATACTAATAAGTGCATCGTTAGTGCTTTTTTTGGGTCTGAAGCCATATTGGCAAGGGCTAAGTATATTAAGTTTGGCTAGATATGAGTAAAGCTGCTTATAGATTAGTTTTTCAAAAATTTTTGACAAGTTTGGCAGGATAGATATAGGTCTGTAGTTGTTTAAGTTGTTTAAGTTGACAAAAAATAGGTAGGCACAATACAGCAGAAACAATATAAGATTGATTGCAATGACAGCTTGAATGGTAGTTGACAAAAATTGGTAGTCACAATACAGCATATGGCTAGCACATAAAAGAAGACAGCAATGAACACAATGATAAGGTTGTTTGATATTACATAAAAATTAGGAGATTGGGTAACACTAGGTACAGAGCAAATTTAAAGCTCAGTGTAGGAAACTAAGAAGATGAAGTTAGGTACTTTTTGGTTTTGCTTTTAAATAAGGCAAAAGTTTTACAGTTTTTCAATTCACTAGGGAGTGAGTTCCATAGACTAGGTCCCTTAATTTGCATAGAGTGTTTACACAGATTAAGTTTGACCCTGGGGATATCAAAGAGATATTTATTTCTGGTGTGGTGATAATGGGTCCTATTACATCTGTCCAGGGAGAGTTTCAGAGCATGGTTTGCATTTAAGAACAGGGTTTTGTAAATGTAGTTGACACAAGAGAATGTGTGGAGGGAGTTAATATTTAGCAAGTTTAGGGATTTAAACAAGGGAGCTGAGTGTTGTCTGAAACAGAGTTAGTTATTATTCTAGCAGATTTTTGCTGTGTGATGATGGGCTTAAGGTGGTTTGCAGTGGTAGACCCCCATGCTCAGATACCATAATTAAGATAGGGGTAGATTAGTGCATAATATAGTGAGAGGAGAGCAGAGTTAGGAACATAATATCTGATTTTGGAGAGTATACCAACTGTCTTAGAGACTTTCTTAGTTATGTAAGTTGCTCAACACAAAGCTGCTTACTCAACACAAAGCTGCTATTAGGACAATATCCAATTCTGGCCCCAGACATCACTCGGTACCCCTACTTAAATCTCTGAATATGTTAGACATTAAGTCACTGCACATTCTCTCATGTGTATTATACATATATAAAACGCTAAACTATAATGCCAATCCTGATCTCAAAAGCTTCAAAGAAGGTTGTATCAGAACCCATGAGCATCACACCAGAAATAAATACAGTTTTGATATTCCTAGAGTACGACTTAATCAAACTAGAAATGCTCTACAAATCAAGGGGCCCAGAATGTGGAATGACCTTCCCAACCATGTTAAAGACTGTACCTCTCTCAACCAGTTTAAGTTAAAAGCGAAGCTATACCTAATAAATTCCCTGTAACCTACCTTACCCTTCTATTGTCAACCAATGTCTGTTTTTTTCTTTAAAGAGCGCTGTTTGTCGACATAATTGTATTTGTGCTGCTTTTTCATCTATGTTTTCATTTCTTGTTTTCATTCTACTCATTATGCTCAATTACTGTAGTATTAAGCTTGTCATTTAAGTTTATCATGCCCGAAACGCTTTGCGTAATAGTGGCTTTAGGCATTGTATGTACTAGCTCTACCTATAAGTTAAACAATCCTTGTAAATATTTATTGTATGTATGTACCTTACCTAAATAAAATTGTATTGTAAATTGTTGTTGTATTGTATGTGTTGAATGTGGGTGCTGAAGTTGAGTCTCTTGTCTAGGAATAGGCCAAGAAACTTGACATCATTTTTATTACTGATGTTAATGTTGTCTATCTGTAGCTGAATTGCATTTGATGATTTGCTTCCAAATAAGATGTAGTAAGTCTTTTCGATGTTTTATGTTAGTTTGTTCGTTGACATCCATAAGTGGACTTTTTTTAATTCATTATTCACAACATTATTTAGTGTATGTGGGTTGAGGCTTGAATAGATAAGGGTAGTATCGTCAGCAAACAATATAGGTTTGAGAATATTAGAGACATTAGGCAGATCGTTTATATATATAAGAAATAGAAGAGGTCCTAAGATGCTGCCCTGTGGCACTCCAACGGTAATTGGTAGAGTGGAAGAAGTTGTATCATTGATGGTTACATATTGGTGTCTGTCACTAAGATAGGATCGGATGTATTCAAGGGCAAGGGCTCGGATTCCATAATGCTGGAGTTTAAGTAAGAGGTAGTTGTGATTAACAGTATCAAAGGCGTTTCTTAGGTCAATGAAGAGTCCAATCGGAAACTCATTTTTGTCAAGGGCTGAGTAGATAACGTCAAGAAGAATAATAATAATAATAATAATAATAATAATAATAATAATAATAATAATAATAATAATTTTTATTTAGGTAAGGTACATACATACAATAAATTTTTACAAAGATTGGTTGACTTATAGGTAGAGCTAGTACATGCAATGCCTAAAGCCACTATTACGCAAAGCGTTTCGGGCATGATAAACTTAAATGACAAGCTTAATACTAATTGAGCATAATGAGTAGAATAAAAACAAGAAATGAAAACATAGATGAAAAAGCAGCACAAATACAATTATGTTGACAAACAGCGCTCTTTAAAGAAAAACAGACATTTGTTGACAATAGAAGAGTAAGGTAGGTTACAGGGAATTTATTAGGTATAGCTTCGTTTTTAACTTAAACTGGTTGAGAGAGGTACAGTCTTTAACATGGTTGGGAAGGTCATTCCACATTCTGGGCCCCTTGATTTGTAGAGCATTTCTAGTTTGATTAAGTCGTACTCTAGGAATATCAAAACTGTATTTATTTCTGGTGTGGTGCTCATGGGTTCTGTTACAACCTTCTATGAAGCTTTTGAGATCAGGATTGGCATTATAGTTTAGCGTTTTATATATGTATAATACACATGAGAGAATGTGCAGTGACTTAATGTCTAACATATTCAGAGATTTGAGTAGGGGTACCGAGTGATGTCTGGGGCCAGACATCATAATGATTGCATCGTTGGTGCTCTTTTGGGACCGGAAGCCAAACTGGCAGGGGCTGAGTATGTCGAATTTTACGAGGTAGGAATAGAGCTGTTTGTAAATAATTTTTTCAAATATTTTTGATAGAATGGGTAGATTTGATATTGGTCTATAATTGTTTATGTCCGCCGGATTGCCTCCTTTATGGACTGGCGTTACTCTTGCTTTTTTGAGGCTATCAGGGAAGGTGTGACACTCTATATAGATTTGTTGAACAGTAGTGCTATGGGTGGGGCAAGGGCATGGGAGGCTCTCTTGTACTGTACACAATGGACGGAATTTCACTGGTGTTCCCTGCCTTGGTTTTTAGAGAGTGTATGATGGACACAACGTCTGCCGGGCTGATTGGTGAAAGGAGAAGAGAGTTTGGATAGCTGCCTGAGAGATATGTGTTAATATGTGTCTGAGTCTGTGGGATTTTACTGGGGGATTATGCACCTCATACCCCTCCTGTGGGCGG